TACTTACTCGACCTAATTAATTGACTAATTCATTTTTTTTAGTTTTTTCAAACCCAATTATATAGTCCAGTCCAGCCCATAGTCTTTCTAAACTTAATTGCTTGGGCTCAACCCAATTTGCATTATTAAGTAGTAACCCTAGAACTAAAAGGATACTACCCATAGATAGATTTCAGATTTATGGATCTGCAAACTGCGATTCCTCCTCCTCTCCAAACTCCAATCTCCTCTTCTCTACGTAGACTGCGCTATAGCTCACTAGCTCTATTTCTGTTTTTCAATTGGTCAATTCTTTTTAACCTATCATTGTCGGCAACCTTCGAAAGATTGTGCCATAGCTCTATTTCTATTCTTCAATTTGATATAAAGAATTTTTTCTAAAATTTTGTTAACTTAGGGTGCTTGTTTTTGTTTCATTAAGTTATTTCCTCAACTTAAAATTATTGATTAAGCTTAGTTTAAGTTGTGCCACTTACTAGACTCTTTTATGCCCATTTTCTTAATAAACTTATTACTGGACATCTATGGCAGTAATTTATGCATTTTTTTTCAATGAACTTTGATGAATCTAGACTTGTGTGACAGTTGTAGTTTATGCACATTTTTTAATGAACCTTTTGCTAGATTTGCTGGACTTATATGATAGTTTATGTCTTTTTTTTCTTTGTGAACTTGTTACTAACTTACTAGACCTGCTTGACATGTATATATTGGTTGTGTATATTTACTGCTTATTTGTTTTGTTCAAATTTTTACTTTATATAATTATTTGACCTAATTTTATTTGATGAATGTGAGAACTAGTAGAGTCTAATAAACCCATGTTGAATTTAATTTTGATTAACAAACAGTAAAAATTTTGATTAACAAGTAGTAGAGCAGGTGATAGTTTTATTTGACAAAAACTCCAAATACCCGTGGAAACCTATCATTTTCTTTGGGTATGGGGATGGAGGCTATTTTTTATTCTTCACTAAAAATTTTCATAGGATCCCAATACTCGTAATTGGCGAGGATGGAGATGAGGAGGGTCTCCACTCCCGTGGCAACCTGTTGCCATCCTAGTAAAATCCTAAAGTCAAGGAAACAAAATTGGCATTTAATTAAAATGTGAATAATTGCTTTATTGAAAAAAAAAAAGAAAAAGGGTTGATAAACAAAAATGGGTCGGACTTTGGAATGTCTTCTGGGCCGAAAATGCACATATGGTTTAGTTAATTTAAGGCCACAGCGTTCGATCTCCTCACGTTGAATCAGGCCCAATAGGGTTCTGGGTCCACTTTCTTCGAGACAGGAACATAGGCTGGATTTATTGCGGCTTTAAGATCCTTTACTGGGGGAGGAAGCCACTAGAAGGAGGAATTTTCTGTTAGTACTCTTTTCAAAGAAAATTATATTTCATTAGAATGTGGTTATTCAGTCTCGACCAACTAATTTTTATTTCTCCTTTTTTTATGAAACTAATTTTCATACGAGATATGAAAAAATCATGACATGCTTCAACGCATCTAATTATAGTAATTAAATATGTAAGATATAATATGTTTCAATATTATTTCTTTTAATTTTATCACATCTATCATGTAGCTATTAGAATGTCTTGATTTTTCATTTTCTTATATATATATATATATTTAATTTGGGCATGAAAACTGAAAAATATATTAATGAACATTAACAATATGTTTGGATTGAAAGAGATAGAGAGGAGGAGAGGAAAGGGGAAGAGAATTCTATCCTTCCATTCTCCTCCCCTTCTCTCATTTGGATGAGTAAATAAATTAAAAGAAAAATAAAATAAAGTACTTTTCCTTGTTCCATCCTATCTAATTTTTTTGATAACTAAATAAAAGGATTTTTTTTCTCCTCTTCTCCTATTCTCTCCATTCCTCTCAACCCAAATATACTATAAAAATATTTTAACCTTTTCAAGAAAGAAATTGAGAAAAATTAGAGCATCTTGATAATATATCAAGAATGATAATGAAAAATCTAAAATACATATAATGAATTAATGCAGAAAAAATATTAATTAAGAGCATTTAAATAATTTTACATGAAATCTTGACATTCAAAATGTCAAAGCACCTTAATTTTCACTTTAATTTCTTTTTTCTTCTTAGATTGCACTTTAATTTCTCTTTCATTGAAAACAATTTTACTGTATTTTTATTTTTATTCCATGGGTCAAATTACGCATATAAAGGCATTTTTAAATTATATATATAAATTAATGAAGTGAATAAATTGATGATTCGATCATTGCAACGTCCTTCTCATTGAATAGGGACAAATGCTGTCTTTCTATATGACATTCTCTCTACCAAGGTAAAATGAATAAATAAAATTGAAATTACCCTTGGTTTTGTACACAAACGTTTCAGAATTCAGAGATGAATTGTGCATGCCATATACATTTTCTGCATGCATGTGTCAGTTGCAAAAGCAACATGGCACTGGTCAGATCGGAGAATCAGAAGGGGGAAGAAGGGAATTGAAATCCTCCCCCTGGGGGCCCCTTTTAATTTCTTCATATATCGCGTCATCTCTACATCAGAATCGAAAAGGAGTCCTATAAACTCCAAAATACAAAGAATTTCAAACAGTACCGTCCAAACCTCTGTTGCATATGATCGCTCCGGATGCAAACATGTGAGAATGTGAAAATTTTTTCTTGTTTAGTGATAGGTCGATCGACGGATTTGCATGGGCTTGCATGCATGCAAAACCATAAGTTCAGTGTCTTTGATAAGTACATTTGCATGCCATGCCGTGCCAACCTCAACTGTGTCCACAGGAACGTATATAGCTAGGGCGTCGGGTTCATCGTATCCCATGTGTTATCGTGCGCGTGCATACGCCACATCTATCCTATTTAAAAACCAAAGAAAGTAAATTAATTAAATAACAAAAAAATATTAAAATTATAATATTACGTAATATTATAAATTTACAATATAGTATTTGATTATATAATTAATTTTTTTATTTAATAATTTATTTATAATATTATATGTAATTATTTATTTAATATTACATTATATTTATTTATTATCATATAATAATTATAAATTTATGATCTTATATAACATTATAAATATAATATTATTAATTAAGTAA